CTAGCCTGACCTGCCTTACATGCTAGCATTTCATGCCCAGATGCTGTAAGCATGTGAGTTTGCAACTCCTAGCTATCAGAAAGTGGCTAGTTCAGACTAAAATGTGAGGAGCTGATGATGTTTGTTTTTTTCCCCCCAACAGGAGCTTATTGAACCCCTAATGATGGAATGCAGAGGAGACTTTTTTTTTTACTTCCTCTCAGACTATGTTTACAACTCCTAACTCTCCCATTCAGGTTGGACCAAAAGGACAGAAATGCAGTCGCAGGCATTCGACCTCCGAAGGACTTCTGTAGATCTTTCCAGATTGCTCTGCATTCTAATTTTTGGTGTTTTGGTTTGGTTTGGTGGTTTTTTATTTGCCTGATGTTAGAATTTGGGGGGTTTTATTTTTGGATTTAAGGGAGTTGGTTTGTTTTTTGCTTTTTTAAGACTCATTATGAGCTGCTGGCAATTATAGCTTTGTTTCCATAAAGAATCTTGGCCCCTAACAAAATGGGGAATGAGCAGCTCCCTCTGACTGACACATACTTTTGAAAACTTCTGTTTTCTTCCCTAGCTCTGAGGTAACAGCCATGATGGCTGGGGTCACGCTGAGAAAAACACTGTTACCTTTGCATAATCAAGTGCTGCACAGTTAGAAACTGGCTCATGCTGGGCCCATGTTCCCAGCTGCCTGGCACCTGCAAAGGGACAAATGACTCTGAATGGAGGTGTGGCAGGGAGAGAAACAAAGGCACCCGTCATCAGTCGGTGATGCTCTTTGGAGGACAAGCTGGAGAACAGTGGCTTCCACCATAACTCAAAGGGAAGAGAGAGTTGTTGCTAGAGGCTGGCATCTAAGAGACTGAATGAATCCCTACTTGAGTCAATGACATTTGATTCAGGACTTCCTGAGCATCGTTATGTGAAATGCAGGACATCTGACGTGTGGGGTGGCAAAGATGGGGAAGGCAGATACAACTCTCAAGGAACTTGAAGTCTAGTAAGGAAAATCAGACAAAAATACCTAAAAATGATGACGAATATGGTTTTCAACTATGTAAGGGACATCTGATCTCACCTGCCAAGTACATCTTCCCACTGTTCTTCAGCAAACACCCTCGTGCTCCCAACTGGGCCAAGTGAGCCAGGCCCCCACTGCCCCTGCAGCCTCTTCAGAGAGATCAAGTTGCAATTACATTGCTTAAGGCCCTGGATCCAGCCATATCAGAAATCCTCCCCATTAGTCTTTTCTGAGCCCTCTAGCTACAAAGTCCCTTTTGTTTGTTTGTTTGTTTTGTCCAAGTCCAACGAAGTTATCTCTTTTAACGAAAAGAGCCTGACTAATGAAAATATAGACAAATGCTTTTATATTACCTCATTTCATCTTCAAAACAGTCCTGTCAGATTTACAAGAGGGATCACAGCTCAGGGCCCTGAAGAGAGTAAAATCCGTGTGGATACAGTTGATTTTACTGCATAAAGTAACCAAACAACCCTAAAGAAAATCCTTCCTGGACTTCCGCCAAGATGGAGGCATAGGTGGATGTGCCGTGCCTTCTCATACAACCAAGTTTAGAGACAACTAAATATTAGCAACAGAAAACACAGCCAGAACACGGAAAATTGAACTTTTTGGAAGTCCGTTAACAACAAATTCTTCAGCCTGACCGGTAAGGGGCGAAACCAGCGGCTGGTGAAGCGGGATTGCATAGGAAAACTTGGTCAGATGCACTCAGGCATGGAATCCAGACGCGCGGAATCCAGGCGCAGGGTTGGACCTAGTGAGCGACCGAGCGAGCGACCAGGCGAGCGACCTCGGGGGAAGACAGCGGGGGAGCGGTGCTGCGTGTTGACTGTGGTCGCGCATTTGTGCGCAGGTGGACAGGCAAGGGAGTGGGCGGTTGGACCGGACCCAGCGGGTCCCCGCGGCAAGCGGCAGTGGAGGGCGCCGCCATTTCCCTGCTCTGACCCCACCTCCACATACAGCGTCATAACCCAGCGACTCTGAGTGGCCCGGCCCAGGTGAACCACCTAAGGCGCTAATCCTCACCCAGCTGTGAGTAACAGCAGAGGGGTCGCCATTTCCCTGCTCTGACCACGCCCCCACATACAGCGTCACAACCCAGCGACCTGGGAGTCCAAGGCACCGCTTCTCACACTTAAAGGGCGCAAACAGACCAAAAATGTCGCAAGATCTCAAAGCTCCAGAGCCCATAGATCTAAGCGATGAAGAAACAGCAAAACTCTCAGAAGCACAGTTTAAAACACTGGTCATCAGGATCCTCACAGAACTGGTTGATTATAGCCACAAATTAGACAAATATATGAAGGCGAAACTCATTGAAATGAATGGAATTGCACAGGACACCAATGGCAATGAAAAGGAAACTGGGACTCAAATCAATGGAGTGGACCAGAAGAAAGCAAATAATGGCCAAACAGAAAAGAGTCAAGAAGCAAGAATTCAAAGAAATGAGGAGAGTCTTAGGAACCTCCAGGACATCTTTAAATGCTCCAACATCCGAATTATAGGGGTACCAGAAGGGGGAAAGGAACAGCCACCAGTGGAAAACTTATTTGAACAAATAATAAAGGAGAATTTCCCCAATCTGGCAAAGGAAATAGACTTCCAGGAAATCCAGGAAGCTCAGAGAGTCCCAAAGAACTTGGACCCAAGAAGGAACACACCAAGGCACATCATCATTACATTAGCCAAAATTAAAATGAAGGAGAGAATCCTAGAAGCAGCAAGAGCTAAGGGGACAGTCACCTACAAAGGAGTCCCCATCAGACTGTCAGCAGATTTCTCAAAAGAGACCTTACAGGCAAGAAGGGGCTGGAAAGAGGTATTCCAAGTCATGAAATCCAAAGACCTACAACCAAGATTGCTCTATCCAGCAAAACTTTCATTTAGAATGGAAGGACAGATAAGGTGCTTCTCAGATAAGATCAAATTCAAGGAGTTCATCATCACCAAGCCCTGATTATATGAAATGTTAAAAGGATTTATCTAAGAAAAAGAAGTTAAAGAAACATGAACAGTGAAAGGACAACAAACTCAGTTATTAACAACCACACCTAAAACAAAAGCAAACTAAAAGGACAGCTAGATCAGGAGTGGAAACATAGTAATGAAGATCTCAAGGAGGGTTAGCAACAGGGGAGTGGGAGGAGAAGAAGGGGGGAGAAGGTACAAAAAATAAGTAGCATAGACAGTAGATAGAAAATAGAAGGGGGGGCAAGAATAGCATAGGAAATATAGAATCTAAAGGACTTGAGACACTTGGTCATAAACTAAAGGGGGGGTAATGGCAGGGATGGGGGGTAGGGTGGAGGGGAATGAAAGGGAGACTAGAACAACTGTAACAGCATAATCAATTTAAAAAATTTAAAAAAAAAATGAAAGAAAATCCTTCCTGCCACCAAATTATCTGGGGCCAGATCTGAGCCTCAGGGTGTTAAGACAAGAACTCTGACTACCATCAACCAAGAGTGTGAACCTGGACATAGGAAGGCCTATTAGAAAACAGGCTAATAAAACTCGTCCAGGCCAAAAGGCCTCTGAACAGCACCTCTCAAACTTCAATATGCATAGGGATCAGCTGGGGCTCTCAGTGAGAGCCAGAGCCCCATCCAGTAGGTCTGGAGTGAGGCCTGAGGTTCAGCATTTCTAATCAGCTCCCTAGCTATGCCGGTACTGCCGGACCAGAGCCACACTTGAAACTGCCAGGGCTTAGACCAGGGCAGTGAACAGCCAGAGGTGTTTAGGACAGAAGTGGCCCTTGAACATCTTTTCTTTGACTCACATGGGATTATTAAAACATTTAAATTTCTATTACAACTAGTTTCCCTGTTTTTGTGTACATTTGAAGCTTTCATTAGGAAAGGTGTTTTCAAGTTTAAATTAATTGCTAAAACCTGAAGATGACTTTACATAAATGTCCCAATTTCTGGCTTTCCCAGGAAAGTGGTGGTCTGGTCGCTCTGGGCCCATAGTCCTCCTGCCTGGCAATGGTAAGTCTCCCCAGCACGCTCCAGGGGGCCCCACAGCCCGAGTGCACAGCACAGAGGTGAAGGGCGTGAACTCTGCAGCCACCCAACCCTAGGTTCCCATCCTGACTTGGCATTTTTCTCTCCATGTGATTTGGGGCAAGTGACTTTTACCTTGCTGTCCCTCAGTGTCCCTATCTGTGAAATGGGAGTGATTACAAGTAGCAACCGGGGATGGGGGCGGGGTGGTGTTGGGAGGATTAAATAAAGAATATGTGTAAAGTGCTTCAGAGGGTGCCTGGCACAGGGCCGGGGCTGTTATCTATCTGCTGGTCCTTTTACGCATCTGAGTTTGCAATCCCGAGTTTAGGATGCTGTCAGTGGGTGAGGCCAGGAAAACCCCCTCCGACTAATTATGGAAACTACAGTCCCCAGAAGATGAAATGCCCAGGGGTGGGCAACGAAGAAGGAGGTAAAAGTCTGACGCACCGGAGCCGATACCCATTGTCTCTCGTCTTCACATTCCAGCACTTTCTGAGTCTCCCCTCTTCCCATACCTTGACCAATGGGAGGAAGGGGCAACTGGATCCCGACAACCCCTGGGACAGCGGAGAAGGCGCACACCGAACACCCCGTGGCTACCCCCCTGACACCTCGAGGAACAGGGACACTGCTGCGGACACAGGCCTCTGCGCCCCGAGGGACCGCTCGCACCCGACGACCACCTGTTTTCCGCGTGCCAACGCACCAGTCTCACACCCTTTTAGGGATCCGCCCCCCCCAGAAACTCTGTCGGATCCCGCGCCTTCTCGCTGCCGCGGACCAATTCCATCATCGCCCCACCCCCAGCTCTAGCGCAGCCTCCGGCTCCAGCAGCCCCATTCCTGGGACAGCGTCCTGCGTCCTCCCAGCACCAGATAACCCTCCACAACTCCCTGCCCAGTGCAGGCTGCCGCTGCGCTGCGAGAGGCAGGACCTGCGGAGGTCCGCCGCCTTCCCCTGCAGCCCGCTCCTAGCCACCTTACCCGACCTCAGCGACGGTGTGGTGGGCCCGCCGTCCCTGTTCCTCCGCCTCAAGCCGTAGCGCCTCTGCTACCGCCACCGGCGCAGCACAACCACCTGCGCGTGACCCTCGATCGCCAGCCCCCGCCCCCAAACACACGGACGCACTCACGTGCGCGCGCTCTGACCTTAATGCGGAGCGGCCGGCCAGGGGGAGCTCGTGGACGGTTAACTGAGGAGCGGAGCGTCAGGGTTAGTAAGACCACCGCCCCCTCCACGAGCAAAGTTGGATCTGCAGTTGGGCTTCTCAGAGGGCGGAACCCGTTCTCACGTTCCTCCAGCCTCCCTGCGTCCATTCCCTGTTTGCTGATTCTCAAGCACAGAGTGCCCCCGGGCGATTTGCACGTGCTGTTCCCTCCACTAGGAACATTCTTCCCATCTTCTGTGGGTCCTCAGAAAAAAATCAAGGGGGGCGGGGGGCTGCGGAATCAACCTCCATCTCTGGTCTTTAAGAAACTGCCAGCTCCCATGTGCAGGTTTTTTTTGTTTAATCCTCACCTGAGGATTTAAGAGAGGTATGGATTTTAGAGAGTGTGGGGGCAGGGAGAAAGAAAGAGGGAGGGGGAGGGGAGGGAGGAGAGAGAGACAGAAAGAAACATCCGTCCTATGGGTCCCTGCCAGAAATCGAACCGGAAACCTTTTGGTGTAGGGGGCCGAGGCTCCAACCAACTGAGCCACCTGGTCGGGGGCCAACGAGCAGGGTTTTTAATCAGTGGACTTGCAGCCTGTTTATTTAACCTCTCTGTGATCCAAGTTATACAGACCCTTTGCTGGGAGTAGGAAATGGATTGTCTTATGTGAAGTGCCCACAGCAGTCTGGCGCACCGCAGACACTCACCAGCTTTATCCCGTGAGCAGCCCGACCCCCGCCCCAAGGCCCACAGGGCACAGAAACAACGTGGAATCCATGTCCTTTTCTTCCTCTTTATGGCAGGTGATGTCACCGGGGGGACTGTGGCCCAGTGTAGCCTGCAGAATGTGCCGTCTGGTTGAGTCATTGTTTCAGAAAAATGTGGATTAATTGCCAACACTTAAAACTGAGAAATCGCATGAATGTGCGGATTTTCAGTAGCTCTTTGAAACAAAGAAGGTTGGGACCATACTGAGTCCACTCTCCTGGGGGCCGGAGCTCACAAGCAACTGTCTTTATCCCCCTTTTACAGAGAAGGAAACTGAGGCTCAGAAAAGTCCGGCGATTTGGCCAAGGTCACACAGCTAATAAAGAGCAAAACTGAAATTGGAACCCAGGCTTTATGCTCCTGGCGCCTTAGCCTGGTAAGGAAGAACAGAAAGGGGATACAATGGTTTCCACCAAACCATCTTTCTGAAAGGAGCATGTTTATTAATAGCACACTTTGCCAATTTGTTGGGATTGTTTAGCAGGAATTGAAATTTTTAGCTTCATCTAAATTGGTGAAGTGCCCACACCCACGCCACCTCCATATTCTTCTCATTTAAGCACTGAGCAATTCTAAAGCTTTAACTAAAATCCAAAATGTTGCTTATTTCATCCATCTCCAGTTACTGGCACCGTAGGTGTTCTTTCCTTTCCATTTCTTTTCTCTTTTTTTTTAGCCTCTTTATTTATATTTTAGTCTTTGCAGTTTGTAAATTCCCTCTTACTAGCTGTTTGCAACATCAATGTTTCTTTACTGTTAAGTTTCCAAGTAGGGTCGTGCGATCTTGGGGCTGAATGAACACACACATAAGAGGAAACACATGCGTGTGCACATTACACACTTATATATATACATGCTCCGACTCCTAACAATGTCTGGTATCTCTCTGGGTCTCATTGTCCCCAAGTATATTTATAGATCGTAAAGCCAAACGCCAAAGTCACTAATAGTTTTTTTAAGGAGCATAATTGTACCTTTCACATGGAAGTTTTAGAAGGCTTTGGTCGCAACCATTAGCCATAAAAATGATCCTACTTTATTGTCGATGTATATACATGTTGGCAACTAATTCCAAACAATTTAAAACACAGTGGAGACAAGCCCCTCCCCCCAAATATTAATGAGACCCATCTCCAGGCCAAATGGAGCCAATTTATGACTCCTGTTCTTAGCACTCAGGGTAACCAGTATGTCTGCCCCTTGGAGGTCAGTGGGAAAAGTTCTCCCCCTTTATGTTTTCCCCTCTATCTTGGTTCCTTGGGCCTCTGCACCTCTTCGATATTCTCCAGATGGACAATAAGCATTGTCAATCATCCCATTTCACTCAGTTACTGTGCCGGGTGAGATGGGTAGGTGGGCAGAAGAAGAGGGAGCGGCTTCCCAGACTACAGATTGAAGAAGAGGGGAGGGGTAAGAGGTCTTCACTCGCATCTAACTTCAGCCTCTGGCATCTTTAAAGTTCCTCCTGGATGGCCCATTGCCCAGCAGCTGACATCAGCATCACCTGGGAGCTTGTTAGAAATGCAGGTTCCCAGACCCCACCCCAGACCTGCTGAATCAGACACTCCTGGGCGGGGCTCCGAGGGATTCCCATGAGCACGGAAGTTTGCAGTTTGATGCTGAAGTCCTGTCTGCCTCTTTCTCTCCCACGGTCACTTCACTAAAGCCCCCCATTCTGTTACCCTGACCAGACTCCAGAAAGAAAGGGAAGCTGGGAATCCTGAGAAACTTCGTATCTTGCCTTTTGAATATATCACCTTATAATTCAACAATGAGCAAATCACCCAGTTAAAATGCAGGTGAACTATCTGAACAGACAGTTCCCAAAGGAAGCTATGCATATGGCCAACAAGCACATGAAAAGGTGTTCAACAGCATTAATCATCAGGGAAATGAAATTAAACCTAAAGAGATTCCACTACACACCTCCTGGAATGGCTAGAGCTAATAAGATACGATCAAAGGTGTGTGAGGATATGGAGCAAATGGAATTGCCGACGGGCAGGCAAAATAGCACAACAAATTTGGAAAAGAGTTTGGCAACTTCTTCTGAAGCTCAACGTGCCGTTACCATATGACCCAGCCATGCCTCCCAGTCATGCACCCACGACGAATGAAAACATATGAGCATTACAAAGGCTTGCACACAGCAGCTTCGTTCATAACAGCCCCAAATTGGAAGTGACCCAAATGTCCATCGATATATGCAAAGATATAAGCAAACTGCGGCATATCCATATAATGGAATACTATTTAGCAATGAAAAGGCATTGGACTACTGATACACACAACGACACGGATGAATATCCGAAACATTACGCTAAGCTTTTTGTAAAAAGCCAGAGAGAACATGTTTTGTAGTGTATGATTCCATTTACAGGGAATTCGAGGCAGGTGCAGGCACAGGAAGCAGGGCAGTCAGTGTTTGGGTCTGCAGGGTGGTGATAAATGGCAGAGGGCCGTGAGGAAAGTTTCTGGGGCGACAAAAATGACCTGGGTCTATTACCAGCCACCTGCAGGTGCCTGTGCTGCAGCCTCTAACCTGCTTTCCTCGTTGGAGTGAGGACCACTGGGGTCAACTCTGGGTTCCTCAGCCTTTTGGAGAGAGAAGAAAGACGCGGGCTTGAAGCAAGCACTGACCTTCCAACCAGTGACGCTGGCTTCGACCCGAAAGCAGAGCTGCACGTTTCTCGACTCTAGGGGGTGCTACTCACATAGAATAAATACCGCGGGAATGGCGGGGCAGCCCCACCTGGGGCATAGAGCCCAGCACCAGCCAGCAAAGGTTTCCAACTCATTAACTAGAATCTTTCCCATAAGGAATCATTTTTCTGTTTACAGGTATTTTTTTAGGTAAACTTCACGTAGCTTAATATAAACCATTTTAGAGTGTTCCACGACATTTAGAGTGTTTAGTAACATTCAATACATTCACTGTGTTGTACAGTCATCACCACTATCTGGTTGCAAAACACTTTTAAGAACCAAAAAGGAAACCTGCCCCCATCAAGCAGTCACTCCTCACCTCGCCTTCTCCTCCCAGCCCCTTGCGACCACCGATCTACTTTCTGTCTCTGGATTCACCCATTCTGAACAGTTCACGTAAGTGGAATCATGCAAAATATGTGGGGTTTTGTGTCCGGCTTCTGGTCCTTAGCCTCCTGTTTTCGAGTTCCCTTCATGCTGCAGCATATGTTCAGTATTTCATCCCTTTTTATGGCTGGATAATATTCCATTGTATGGATACATACCACATTTTCTTGACCCCCTCATAAAGCGGTGACCATCTGGGTGTCACAGGCCCCTTTAAGCCTGTACCCCAGTCCTGGGTGGTGAGCAGGCCAGTGAGCGGCTCGGAGGATGAGGCCGCACCACCGGAATTCACCACCCTTCCTCTGCGTCCTGGTCAGCTCTGCTGCTCTCACAGAGCACCATCGACCAGGCAGCTTAAACAACGAGATTTCCTTCTCACTGTCCCGGAGGCTGGGAGCCTGAGATCAGAGTGCCAGCAAGGTCAAGTTCCTGGTGAGGGCCCTCTTCCAGGTTATGTCCTCGCGTGGCCTTCCTTCGGTGTATGTGAACGCACACACACGAGATGTCTCATGTCTCTTCCTCTTCCCACAAGGACCCTAACACTATCATGAGGGCCCCGCTTTCATGACCTCATCTCAGCTAATCACCTCCAAAGGCTCCCTCCAAACACCATCCCATCAGGGATTAGGGTTTCAACCTATGAATTTGGGGGCGGGGGCCTTCAGCCCCCCTACTCATGCCTCCTGCCAGGTTCGTGGATGTGGGATATGCTCTCTAATGCTGGAGGGAAGAAAGGCAGAAGGAAGGTGGGAAGGGCAGTCACTGGACAAATAATAAAGATACCACAAGGCTGCTATTATTCATTCAACAAACATTTGGGGGTATTCACTACATGGCAGGCAGGGTCAGTGCTGGAGATAAAGCAGTGGGCGGATCTTCCTATGTAATAATCCTTACGTCTCCCTCCTAAAACTTTGCATTTTTTAATTTCACAACTGCCCTGGCTCCGTCCACCCACCAAGTTGGCCCAGTTTCTCTTCTCCTATCTCACACTTTGTTTTCATCCTATTCCATTTATCTACC